CCGCCATTTCGACACGCGATGCACATTTAGTCTAAGATTAGTTTTGCTCTCAGTACAAAGACTTATAACTGATCTTTGCAAACAGAATAATAAAAAAGAAAACTGACATAAACCGACTCCTTTGACTTTTGTTCGGATGAAGTTCAAACATATTCAATTGTGCAATTAAAGACTTTGGATCTTTTCAGCTGCTGCCTGGGGCCTGTGATCACCTTGTGTGAGTGGAGAAAGACTTTCTCAGTAAATGATGAAAATAGCCTTGGTGCAATCCGCTGCAGCAGGAATTTAAATAAATACAAGACCATTGAAATTCATTAAATGATGTTACATTTCTAAAATGATTACAGCTTTTCTTGTGTATAATCATATTTAAAGTCAGACCCTTACCTAAGGCTCAATTTGTCCTCATGAGGTTGAAAAGTATTCGTTAGGCAGTAGCACATACACATAATTAAAAGAATGCCAGTTTGAAGACAGGCTAGTGCCAGTTAAATTATGCAGAAGTTTTTAATTATGACAAATAATTCTTTAACGTATGCACATACATTGAAACGAATACGTACTTTTTCTCATTAACACCAGGGCAACTGTGGAGTGTGTGATGGATTTTTCCGGGAGACCCCTTGAAGCCCATAAACTATTCTCTGTCATGTCCCTACATAATTATGATTAATGGATCTATGCTTGGTTAGGGAGACGTGTATTATCCAGTGTGCATGTACAGTGTATCTTGTTACCGTGGTCGCAGCCGCTCATGCCCATCTTGCTTCCATCTGGACACACGTTACACTTCATGCCCTTTACTCCGGTCTTACAGGAGCACAGGCCGGACATCTGCTCACAGTCATCTCTCACCGAGCCCGACGGGTCGCAATTACACGCTGCAATGTACACACAAAACAAAGCCACAGTGAGTGAAGGGCAGAGCTCATAAGACAAACAACCAGTCACTTCTTTCTTACTTTTCTATTAGACAATATGACTTTTTTTTAGCTTTCTTTCACCCACAGCATTGCAATTTTCCATTAAAAAGATGATGAGCTTGGCTATTATGTGTTACGTTGAGTTTTTGAGTTGTTGAAGGACAGTGATGATCCAGGATCCATCCATCCATCCATTTTCTTCCCCTTAATCCATTTCTGGGTCGGGGGGGTGGCAGTCAGAGCTGCACCCAGGACACATAGCACCAGCCCCTCACTGATCCTCCTGCAGGTGGTGAGTCCACAGGAGCTGAGATCTTTCAGTTGGGGCTTGATCCAGGATATTTAAGGATATTTATGGAAATTTAAAATATTTATGGACATTGGCCATCCTGCACCCTATGGACCAATGGCTCATAAGCTCGTCTTGCATTTCTGTTATTGCCGGAGTCAATTTCCTTATATGGGCATTGGTTCCAATGTGGTTAGCTTCATGTTAGCAACTAAGGTGCTGCTAACATGTTTGCTAAGGCAAACTCGAGTCTTCCCTCTTGATTTTGTAAATCCTATATTTACATAAACAATATCAAAATATAAACATAGCTTCATCATAGTAAGCGCTAAACCACAGATTTTAAAGCCCACATTTTTAAGTGAGACACAAACAGTGTCATAGAGCAAATCTTCGTCCATGAGCCCTTCCCTTGATTGAGCATTATCCATCTATACACAGTCTATGGTCCTTTTTGGTAAAATGTTGCATTTAAATTGCCATATCAAACTGAAATTGCATTGCTAAAGACAAAAGAGCAAGCCGTTTATACAAAGTTTCTCGGTCTCTGTATTGGATTTGTGTGGTTGTAGTTCACTAGACCTCAGGGATGGTACAAAATAAGCATGTGAGAGTAAAGCAACCCTAGGGAAGGACATCAGCCCCGTCATGTGGGTAGAATCGATCATGAGTTTGTTCCTGCCCCCCCCCCCCTGCTCAAGTGCACATCGGTGTCTAGAGAGCGGCTTGCCGACTGCTGTACACCTTGTTAAGGTCGTGCCTTGGCCAGGACTCCTTCCTACTTCCTGCTGAGGCCTGAAACTGCTCAGTGGCTGAGGGAGTGCGTGTCCTCCCACACCGCCGGGTCGGACACCATATTGCATTACAGCGAGATAAACAAAAGGGCACGATCCTGGCTCCCACTGAATACAAATACAGACTTCGCAATCAATCAGACAGCTTTTTATGTGCAAAGTTCATAAAATTGTAAATGCTTTTAGTGTATGCAGTCTCAAGGAAATAGTGTCAAGGAAATCTAATATAATTTACACCTGACACCAGACGCTAAGCAGCGGCAGTCTATGTTTAAGAAAAAAACCATATTTACACTGGAAAATCCATTCAACAATCATCTGATTGTTTTCCTGTTTCGGCACAAGAGACATGGAGCTTTTGCACGCTGAGAGACAAACTATATTTGAAAGCATCCCAAACAGTTTAATAACGACAACAATGTGTGGTATGTGTTGTGCCCTTTGAGAGAATTGAATGCAGTAGATTACAATTGGTTGCTGTTCTTGTAATAAAGGCCAATTCAACAGATAGGGGAAGTATACAATAAAATAATTTAGATTTTTTAGTCATTTTTAGATTTATTTCTTAAACTAATTATCATAGTTAATAAGGCATATTCAGGATTAATCTTGAAAACGTTTGAGTTTTATTCGTACTTTCTAGGCACATTATTGTGATTGTCAGCCATCTTGGTTGTCATACATTATTTGGTGTGCTTATGATTATGTTGCTCATATGTATATCAAAGGTTAATAGGTCTAATTGTCTAGTTGTTTTGTGGCAGCAATTAAGGGAACAAAAATGTGTGTTGTTTTATTTGGGCATGTTTGATTAGTATTGAACTAATTTACATATCCACATTTATTTTGGAATACTCCACTAGTGCATGTATGAGTATTGTATGTTATAACAATGCTTACGGGTGCATCCGCTCATGTTCTCAGTGACTATCCCTCTGAAGTTCCAGAATCCGGGCTCACAGCGGTCACACTTCAGACCGCCCACTCCGGGTTTACACGAGCACTGTCCGGAGGCGGGGTCACACGTCCCTTTGTACGACCCATAGGCATTACACTGACACGTGCCTGCAGAGAGTAAACACACATTATTGCATATACTGCAGGTGTGAAAAAAGTGAAAATTTAGAAAGTGTTCAGAATGTTCTCAGGTAGAATCTTATTGTATTCCTTTACTGTCCCTGTCTCTCTGTGTGCATCTCTGTCTCTCTGTGTGCATCTCTGTGTGCATGTCTGTCTCTCTGTGTTCATCTCTGTCTCTCTGTGTGTCTCTCTGTGTGCATGTCTGTCTCTCTGTGTTCATCTCTGTCTCTCTGTGTGTCTCTCTGTGTGCATGTCTGTCTCTCTGTGTGTCTCTTTGTGTGCATGTCTGTCTCTCTGTGTGCATCTCTGTCTCTCTGTGTGTCTCTCTGTGTGCATCTCTGTCTCTCTGTGTGCATCTCTGTCTCTCTGTGTGTCTCTCTGTGTGCATCTCTGTCTCTCTGTGTGTCTCTCTGTGTGCATCTCTGTCTCTCTGTGTGTATCTCTGTGTGCATCTCTGTCTCTCTGTGTGTCTCTCTGTCTCTCTGTGTGCATGTCTGTCTCTCTGTCTGTCTCTCTGTGTGCATCTCTCCAGAGGTTGTAGTACTATTTTCTCTCTATCTGAGTGTTCATATCATTCCTCAGGATCATCAGATGAAGAGATTTTTCCTGTTGATACACAACAACATTTTCATAATAATTTCTTGGATAAAGATGAAACATTTGCTGCTTCACAACTTTTGGCGCCATAATTACAGTCAAGGACAGGAAGCGCCATATGCTGAAGCAGCCTGATGAAATCTACTATTCTGCTGTGCCCAACAAACTTGAGAAACCCATCAAGTGAAAATTGCATTCCCACATATCTATCTTAGTGAAATGAAAGTCACCTCCAGCTCATTCTGTTTAGACCCTGGAGCAGATCAGTTTCCAAAGCCGTTTTAGTGCTTTCACTTATTCTACCATCATAATATGGGTCACTTATGCAAGTTTTGCTTTGAGTGCTTTCCCTTATCACCACGTATGGATCCATTAGGACCATTTCAGTGCAATAAGTCATCACATCCATTTGTGATCATGACTATGGAAAAGAAACATGTCCATGGGGAATGTTTTACAATAATAGTATCTTCTCAAGAGTCAAAGCTGTGTGCTCTGTATTTGTATACTTAACACAGGGCCTTTATGCTTGATAGGACTTTTTAACAAAACCCCATGGCTCCAATTTTCTTTCTTAAAACTTTTCCATTAATCAGCTTCGTCAAAACCTTGTATAAAGGTCAAGGTTTCATTTACAAATGCACCTCAATTTAGAAAGTAATCACTAATGGGTGTAACTTCTGTAAGTAGCCAACTCAATTAAGCCACAGGCACATCAATGGCATCATTGTTTTATATAGAATAATCTCAGTCTATAAGATAAATGTATAAGTGATATCTAAAGTAAGTATGAAAATATATTATAGTTTCAGTAATCATATGTTTTTGGTGGCCATAAAAGTGTGTTGCTCATTTGTATGAAACTAAAAGGAAACTTTTTTGTAACAAAAAGATTTTGTTAAGAATTAAGGGGGAAGAAAGCATTTGGTGTTGTTTTTTGGCATATCTAATTAGTACTGAACTACCTTAAATATAAGAGAAAAAACTACTACCATCTATCAGCAGTTTTTTATTTTTTCATTTACCCTTCATTCAACCAGGAAAAAACCCATTGAGATTAAAAACCTATTTTTTAAGGGAGTTCATGTTGTATTGGCAGTTGATGAAAATGAAACCCATTTGCCCAACCAGGACTTGTAGTTTATTTTTTTGAATGCGCTGGAAAACAGCAGCAAGTTCTAAGTAGCTCTGAAACAGTTGTTTTTCTTGCTTTTTTCTACCTGAGATGTTGCTGTAGTACGGTGTGCATTTGCACTGGTCCAGACCGGAGCAGAGAGGATTCATGGTCCAAACCAGGCGGATCAGCCAAAAATCCACCGGAGGAATGCTAACTTTTTTTTAAATGCTAATGAAGCATTTAGCATTTTCCTTTAGACTAGAGCAGAGAAAATGGTCTGAACCAAGCGGCTACTCCACCTCTGCTGCTCTGGCCCATCCTTCTCCACCAAGAGGCTACTCCACATCTGCTGCTGTGACCTGAAGGACTGTTGCTGATTCTTACTATTGTTATCTTTTTAGAATGATCAATTTTATTTTTCATTTTTGCTGCTACTGGGCATCTGAATTTCTCCAACAGGGATCAATAAAGTATCAATCTATCTATCTATCTATGTTCTCCTGGAGATCTCATAGACATCATTTACGGTAGAACAAAATAAGTGACGCAAAGTATTCATGCATTGGCTATAATGTTTGTGTAAATTGAGAAAATAATTGAGTAATGGAGTTGCTGGGACACTTACTGGGACACCCGGCCTGTCCAACCCCCAGTGCGGCCGTCATGTTGTCAGAGCAGCATCCATACACCGACAGGCCGCAGTGCTGGAGCTCTGCCAGGGCTGGTCCTGGCGTGGCTGATACGGCTGAGGAGCACAAGAACACCAACGTTGGAGCGATTACGCTGGAGGCGGCGGCACGCATTAAACAACACAATCTCCGGGCAACATAGAAGTTATTTTGCCAACGGTGAGATTGGCTGAAGGGCAGAGGTGGAGAGACTGGCAGCCAGCTACAAGATAACAATTCTGTTTGCGACTTCCTCAACAATGGTTCAAATTCAAGGAAAATGATGCTATTAGCTCCAATGAAAACAAACAAAGGGCTTACTGCTGAATGTGCAGCTGACATTTAGCACCTACAAGCCGCCGTGCTCCTTTCATTTGTTCTTGTCTAATGCTATGGGACTGCACTACAACCCTACAACACTGCCTAATATACACAACAATAGTACTCCTGCATTCATCACATTAAACTGCAGAGTTATGACTGCTCAAAACATCTTCCAGTGCAGCTGTTTTCTCAATTTGAGTTACACTAAAACTCTATGGTATGAAAAAACTTACAACATTAAGCTTTTTCACTACTTACTTGTGTTTGCCCAAATCTCTTAGCCTGACTTTGCCTTCTATGTAAGCTTAACCCGCTCCCCTTTTTAATCTTTGCAACATAATGAGTCCAATTTGTGAATAATAAAGGTCAGGTTTCCATTTATGAATGGTAATCAGTGTATCTCCTAACACATCTCAGCTCTTAAGTTACAAATTATGTTTTCAATCATTAGAAGTGTTTTACTCGTCAGAAATATTTATATTATAACATTTGTAAAATATACACAATAATAATTTAAACAAATGTACTTCCTTCTTTCCAACACTCTTCATTTGCTGTTCAAAGTAATAAACTTCACTTGAAACTTAGTGAAAAATGTCTTCCCCAGACCTGGTCCACGTCCAGAGATTTGAACAGAACAAGAAAATTCCGTCGCAGAGGTAGAGTTGAATGAACAGGGGAGAAAAATAGTTGAAGTGGAGTACACACTTTGTCAAAAAAGTAAAGTTGTACAGGCAAACGGGTCTTCTCTCTCTATTCCCTCGCCATCTCTTTTTTCTTGCGCTGCTCATTTGGAGTTTGGAGGCTGGAGATCCGGGGGCCATAAATCACACTGTTACTGGTGTGGATATGAACTGAGGGCTAATGGTGATGACTGGGCTCGCTCCAGAGATGGGCTTTGGACACACTTCATTTAACTTGCCACTTTCTGCCGCGGTGTTGGCCTATCTGTTCTGAGCCTATTAGGACCAGTAGAACTTTTAATTTCATATGTTCCTTCACCCTACAGTGCGTTTTTCCCTCTTGAGTGGCTATTGTCTTTCTCATCGCGGCTGCCCTGAACAAAATGTGAGTATTTGAGCTCCTCCGCTGTGCTCTTTCAGCTGTGATGATCGGAGCTCGTGTTGCATTTCCCAGGGTGGCAGCTGTGCACGTGTTGCTTGTCTTCTGAACCATCTGCAACAATCCATGACTATCACTCTCGGGTCAATGCGTTTTGACAGTTTAACAAGAGTCCAACTTCATTTCTGTACTGGTTTTAAAGCATGACAAAAAGTATTGGATTTTTTGGGAAGATTAATTCATAGCTGTGTCTTGTTGTCTTAACCTAACCCCAAGGTAGATTGGTAAAACAGACAAAATGACCAGAGAAATATTGTCCAGCCAAGATACAATTTCATATTTCATATCAAGCATGATCAATCTTCAAGAAGATAAGCAAGTAGAGTTACAGGTTAGATCTGCGGAGAGGTTATGAAGGTGTGTGTAATATTGTGGACCACACCGCCTCTTAAAAAAACAACAATATATTTTATTTCAAAACACTACAACGTTGTCCTGCATCAGAGAAATACTGAAAAGCACAAAAGTTACACATTAAAATTCTTCAGCTGTACTCCGCATATGCCCAGCGGTTTAAATGACTCAACTTTTTGGCCTAAAATTAATCCTAAGAGAAATAGTCGATCTTGTTAAAAGTGTCAAAGTCTTCCTTCATGCTGCTACTAACTTTGAGGTCAAATGAAGTTTTCCTTTACAATCAGAAGTCGAGTGGAAAAGTGAAATTCCCTAAGAGCCTGGTCAATGTCAGCCAATAGGGAGCAAGAGCCTCTGAGGACTCCTCGGAAAAGCGATTGATTAGCCATGGATGTTGGGCGAGCGTGACTGCCCGAGCCCAAGGAGGAATCTTTGGGGAAAGGTTGAAAACAGTAACAGCAGCCTCCCTTCTCCACCTCGTCCATGTGCCCACCGGGAATCAAACTGGCTGGAATGATGACCGCAAATCCCTTAAGTGCATTTTACTCCGCTGCCGGGCCTGTGCGAGAAAAGCTCTTCATTTAACATGGTCAAGGACAGGAAAAGGAAGGAGTGTAACCTTTGCTGCGTAGCCAGTGATATGACAACTATTAAAGCTGATAAATGTCATTCATTTATGTGCAAAGTGGACCTTTTATACTTAAGTGAGTGGGACAAAATGGTGTCCCAGGCGGGCCTCGAGCAGACCTATGAGCGCAGGTTTAATGTATTCAATTGTGGGATGAAGTGAGTCATCCTTCTCTGAGCCTGCGCGCTGCAGATACTTCTCAGAGATGAATGAGCGCACTGCTGGGAAGTGGCAAAGGCCTGTGGTGGATTTACATCACGTTTAAGCTGCTGTTGCGTACAGTGAGGGGACAAAAGCAATGCGGTCACAGAATGTTCCGGTCAATGGGTGGAATGAGTGATGAGATGGGGGTGAGGAGGGGAGAGGATGACGGAGGAAGGACTCACCGGTACACGGACCCTGGTTCTGGATCTGAAGGTGTTCTTGTTTCTCACATCGGGTCTTCTTCAGCTCGCACTCGTTGCTGTAGTTTTTACCATCAGAGCCGCAAACCTGAAAATGAGATGTCAGAGATTATTTTTCAGTACACTTGTGATTTATTATTAAAGTGCAGGGTTGAGTTGAGGCTTGACAGTTAGATCGTCGGAGAGGATACACATTCACATCAACAGGGCGGATATATTTGGTAGAAGCAACATCTGCACGTGAAATGAGCGGCTGTTTTAGTTTTCTTCCACTATATATAAATATTTATTGCTGGGTCAAGAAGCAGAGATGCCTATATTTCTCTATGTATGCACAGTTTCTCCAGGTCGTCCAGGGGATCCTAATGTGTTCCAGTGTGTCCTGTGTCTTCACTGGAGTTTCCTCCTGGTGTGACATGCCAGATACACCTCCCAAGATTCAGGCATTTGAAACAGATGTTTTAATGGTTTTAATTACGTGATTTTGGTGTTTGTTTTATGTGATGATTTGCGCCTTGTGTCTGAATGAAAATTGATTGATTGATTGAGCTGGTGGAGGAGCAGTGCCTCGACTCCGTGCTCTTCCCGTGTGACTGAGCTACTCACTTTGTTTTTTTTCTTGCCAATGCAGGAGGGTCTCTTAGATTGTTAGCAGGTGTAAAAAAAAAAAAGGACTGTGGTGATGATCCAGGACACTCTAACTTCATACAACATTTGATTTGTGTTGGCTGATTTTAACGGTTTTGTCCTCCGAGTTAACTACTGCTGTGATTTAGGGCTACAAGAATGAATTTAATTGAACCACTCTGCAGAAGAAACCACTTTTATCCGCGATCTTGTAGTTTCAGTCATCATTTAAAGCTCATGACCAGAAGTGATTGTGTGGGGCGTAGATTGAAAGCTTTGCTCTTAGATTAATTGTAGTTTCATTAATTGATAATAACAAAGAATCACTTCAGTGTCATGAGCCATAAGAGAGAGACCTACCGGACTGTGAGGGACACTTTGGCAGCTGAAGTCACACACACAGCGGTCCTCCTCTGCGTCCTCGTCCCACGATCCTCCGAACATTTTGCATTTGTCCTGTTCACAGCTCTCCACCCCGGATCCAGACGCTCCCGAACCACAATCTGTAACAACCCAGCCACAAGTGCACAAAAAACTATTAATCAAAGGAAGCAACACCCACGGGAGATAACCCTGGGTCGGGCCAAAAACCATGTCCTACTTCCAGTTCTGTTATGACAAAGATCGCTTCATTTAGATTTGGCTCACACTGATGTCTGGAACTACAGCCGCTGCTGCTGGGACAAGATAATGACTGAGTGTAGTGTGGGTGAAGCATTGACTAAATAAATTAAAGTCAACGATTCAGCACCACTGTGGCATCCTTTTCATTTCAATTAAATTTAGAGACAAAAAACTGAGGTAATTATTAACTGTGGCATCCAACTGAGCCGTGGAGATTGGTGGTGAGGGCTGTTTTATGGGTCCATGCCTTCTCAGAATACAAGTAATTGCAAAGTGTTCTGTAAAATCTAATTATCTCCACTGACTTTAAAGGAACTTGTCCCAGACACTTTATCAGCATGACCCTTAATGGCATTTTATCAGTTTAGAAGTCCCGTTCCTTCTGACCTATTGCTGCTGGGAAATGATTAAGCCACACAAATTACGAACAATAACTCAAAAAACAACAACAGTCAGTCAATCAGCCAAATGATACAGTTTGTTGCATTATGTGACAGAATTTGTTAGGTCGAACTCATTGCCAAAATGGGAAATTGGCAATATTGTCTCATCAACAATACAGTTGGAATCCTCTCTGTGTGAGAATTGTTCAGACAAAACATTTACATCTGCATTTCAACTTGCAATCTGAAACTAATATACGATAGACGTGACACGCTGAGTGAGATATAGCAAGTTTTTATTTGTTTTAATGTTGATAATTGCTCACAGCTTGTATGTAGACCAATTACATGCAAAGTGACACATTCACTTCTAAGTATTCACAGCTTGGATCATTCTGTGTCTAAGCATTAGCACAAAAAAAGCTTTAATTGAAGGTGTGAGTGGATGGTCTGCAGCATGCTTGTCTACTTTGAAATGGGTCTTGCATAATTGCGATCGTATGTATCATTATTTTGCTGAAGTTATTTTTGAAGACACACACAAGCTATACTATAAAAGCAGCATACTATCGACCAAATGCTGCTTGAATAGATAATGGCGCAAAACCAAGAACAACTGTGTGAAACAAAACTTTGACAAAAAACCAACAAACCAAGACAGAAAACTTTCCCTCAAGGACTCCTTCAGTGAAAACAGACTGCTGTAGAATGCAGCTAAACGATGTTGTGGGATTCCGGGTTTTGAAGATGCAAATGTTACCTACAGTGGAAGTCCTTAGGGAGATTATAGGTGCGAGTTTGCAGGAAAGAAAGCAGAGGGAAGACGGAGCGAGTGTCAGGCAGTGAGCACAGCACCGCAGGGGGTTGGCAAAAGTTCATTTAAAACTAATTTGTGATTCTGAACGGAAGCTTGTCAGACTAAAAAGCTCCCAGCGCAGCAAAAAGACAACAAAACATCAGGTATTCAAGACTGTTTTGCTGTGTTATGCAAAGGTCTGAGACTTATTCAACGTCTGGCATCGATGGGACAGCTCTAATGGTGGAATCGATGTGAGCAGGAAGAGGCACTTATCATAAGGCATGATTTAAAGTGGATTATGGGTGCGGGAGGGGGACGGGGAGGGGGGGGGGGGGGGGGGGGGGGGGGGGGGGATGCCGGCGGCCAGAGCATGCAGCCCTTACAGCCTATTTGAGATGGGTCATCAGCAATGGCCAGTGACAGCTTGTGTGGTCGATACTCTAAAGAGGCTCACTTTATTAACTTTGGGCACAATGGGAGCGTTGTGTTCTGCCCTAAACATCGGGGCTGCTTAAGGACACGCTCCCGCTTTCTTCTAAACCACCTCCAACCTTTGCGTTTTTGGCCGAATTTACCTCAGTGGCTTTGCATTGATCCTGAACAGAGGTTTTTTGTTGTAAAGGCAACGTTTTGTGATGGGGTGAATGGCTGAGCTAATGGCTTATGGCATTATTACAAACATAGGGCTATGTGGAACAAAGGTGAGCTGGCAGCAAAGTAGAGATAAAAGGAAGAATAAGTCCAGCAATCCATTTCCCATTGTTTGATTAGACAAGCATCTGGAGAAGCTAAGAGCAGTGGAGTGAAGCACGCATGTCTCAGGAAACTTCTGTAGCTAAGAATGTAATACAATACATCAACAATAATGTTATATACACTTTTATTTCTTACTTAAGGTGCAGTAAGCGATTTAGTTAGCTTAGCCGTAGCAACAACTCGAAACGCCTCCCCCCGTCCCCTCGCCTCTCCACCAAACCAAACATCCAGCGTTTTGTTTTCTTTGTCACAACAGGGAGAGTGAGCAGTAAATGTGGAATTGGCATTTTCTGTTCAGCGCTTTTAGGTTTTAGAAAAGCCGATAACTCAGGTGCACTCGTGAGAAACAGGAAGAGGGTGAAGGGCGTAAACACATCCCATTGGTTCGTTGGGGATGAACAAATCCCATTGGTTTATTTTCATCGGTCCGCTCTAAAATATGTTATTAAATATATAAAATATTAATTTTTGTAGACTATAGGCATCTGGTCTATTCCATTACTATTTGAAAACACATGATAACTTGACTACTTTTAGGGTTTAAGGACGTTTTCTCACAATATTAAAAAAATTGCGTCTGGAAAAAAAATACTGATATCTTTAGAGGAAAAATAAGACAATATTCAATGCTTAAAGCACTTTGGACCTAACTGAATAGTCATTTAGAGCTGGGGTACCTGACTTTGAAGACGGAAAAACAGTTAAGTTCTGTATGACTACTTTTCACATACATGTAATTTTGTTTCTTTGAATTATTAAATCTTTTTTTCTGTCTTTCAGACAGAAAAATTAAATAGAGAGGACCACCTTTCACAAGTAGTGACTCACAGGGCTCTTTCAAGAACTCAAAAAATAACTTGTTTTGTCAGATTTGTTTAAAATAGATTAAGATTTATTCTGTTGGAGTCAAATTCATGTGATATTTATAAGTGATGCACCCCTTTAATGTATCCATACAGTATACAATAAAACAGAATGTAGCCAGTTCTGTAAATGTGCACAATTTGTTTCTAGCAATACAAAAATCCATTCATATTCAAGCCATCGGCCTCCTTCACCCCGCAAGATAAATAAATAAAAGCACTAAGACATCAGAATGGAATAAATAAGGCAAAGGGTGAAGGGTTTCTAATTAACTGCTGTTCTTTGATGGAAACACCATGAGCACTGCCTATGAACCTTTCAATTAATGCATGCCCAGATAGAAAGCCACATCAGCTATTCTCTCAGTATATGCACTTCTTCTCCACTGAGCCACCATAACAAGGAGGGCTCTGCAGCTCCCGGAAAAAAGGCACATGAATAGTGTCATCCAGGGAAAAATATGTGATGGAGAAGTTGCAGTGAACATATACTATTGTCAGTAAAGTTATATAGGAATATCTGAAGGTTTAAACTATAATGTACCATAATCATAAACTCAAACAGCATATCTTGCCATTCTACTCAAAAATGGTACTTAATCCTCATCGTTATTTAGTTTTTACTGATATGAAGCCATAGATTTACCCCCATTGCCTCTAAACCGGAAAGCAGCGCAAGGAGAGGAAAAGGAGAGGCAGACCAGACCAAAGCTCTTTCCCACTTCATTCACATATATAAGCTGCCGGCTAAGCACTTGGAAATTATAATTTATGATAAAAATGGCGACAAATTCTGGACTTGCCTGTAGGAGTTATGACTACTTCCAGTTTCAATGTTTTTGTTGCATGCTCTCAATGATAAAAATAAAAACAAAATAAATGTTCAGTTTGAGGGCAGGTGCCAATCCAACTCTACGGTATATTGTCACCACTTTTAGAAAACTTTATATTTTGACCATAGTTGATGAGAATTGACAAAGATGCAGAACTTTGTAACCGTGTTTGTTACAAAGAAATTAGCTATGAACTAAGACTTATTAAACATTGTTACCAGTAAAGACACCCGTGACCACAATTTTAAACTATAGGGTCTTAGCAATCTTGTGAAATCATGAACCTATTCATGACGGAAATTATATGTTTGATTGTGAAGAAGAAAAGAAGCGACACCCTATTTTTTTTTAGAAAATACAATACCATCTCCAAATGAAAAGCAGTCTATAGTATTTCACACTGACATCAGGGTTAGGAGACGGTTAGAGTGACCTGTGGCATCTTTGCTTCCACAACAATCCCCCTGGTGTGCGATGTGTGTGTGAAATGACAGCTGATGCACAAGAATGCAGCATGGCTCCATTTACTAGTGCTTCTGCTCCATCTATCAGTCAGTGAGCCGGCCTGCTCCTGACGGATGTGGCAGCGCATTAGTCCAAATAAAGTTCTGTGGGATAAAGAGGGATGGGTCGGTGTGGCAGTGTGGAAAGAGGGATGGGGTTCTGGCTGATTTGCAAAAGAAGAAAACACATTTTGCTGCATAAACAGAAGGTTACAAGAGTTGTGATTGATGGCCTGTGAAGGGAAAATCTGCTGATTTCATTCAGCTCTTTTGCCTTCCAAACACCTAAATTGCTTTTATTTTGCCAGGCTGTTGCTCTGCTTGGTGCTGTCTGGTCTGTTCTGTGTGGCATGCAGAGCAGGTCAGAGATGGTGCATCCCTGTGTGTTCCTGCACTTGTAATCTTGTTTATTAAATGTCTTTTCAATTATAAAAGAGCGTCCCCTCAGGCTTCTCACTTCTCACTTGCCACTTTGTCAGTGTCCAGCAAAGGAGAGGAGGCCAGGCCTACTCGTGTGTGAAATTAAACAGGTGATAAATTTCCCCGTAAAGCCAACGCTGTGAACATTGTCATTTTTCATTACTGCTAAATAAAAGGCAGGAGAAAACAACTTCCATTTTTATGCTTCATGCTTCTCCCTCTTCCCATAAGACTAATGAGGATGGTTTTTAGTCAGGTCTACGTTTGACAATAAATCAAACGCTTTTCCAAGTCAGGGTTATGGGTTGCAAAGACCTGTATCGTTTAGCTTTGCTTCAGGCCAGAAAAAAGGACACAAGACCCTGTTTCCAGCCATTCTGTGACAAGAAAGTACAATGCTTGACCTGGAGCACTAATTTTGGGACACAATCTCATTCTACTGTGCACTGCATGTAACCCCACGTAATCTCTCTGAGTGAGACGTGACAGGGAGTAACAGATTCTTGGTTTTGATCATTTTACAATTTGTGCAGAAACCCTGCTGAGGTCTGAGTCACTTTCTGAGGGTCTGAAAGGAATGGGGACAGCGCCTGTGGGAGAGCGGACGCACGCAAAGCTGCCCCAGGGTGAAACGTATTGATTTCAGTGCAGCCCATCTCCAGCCCATCTGTGAAAGTGCCCATACCCCTTTGTGGAGAGGGACAATTTGAAAAAAAAAAACAAGAAAAAGGAAAAAGAGGAGACGAACAAAATGGACAGAGGTGCTGGTGGGAGGGACGCCAAACAAGGACTTTGGAGAGGAGAAAAGATTCCATTGTGTCAGCCTGATGGTTTTCTCTGAACCAAAAAGTGCAGGATGTTGGAGACAGTGCAAGTCGGAGAATAGTGTAGCAGGAAAACTGAGCTTTTACAGCTGTACCTTAGTATAGCTCATGTCCCTGAGGAAACACAACAGGTTTCAGCCTGGACAGACACGACTTGGCCTCATGTGTGCTATGGGCAATCCGCATCACTTTACTTCATGCTCTACATAAAAAGCAGGGCAGTGTTATGATGTGAAATCAACCACAAGATGTTTTAGAGGCTTGATTTTCCACGCAGGCCTCGGGACACGGCGGAAGACAATGGTGCGGTGAAAAGAGGAAGAGCAAAATGCAGTAGACAGACTCCGGGCTTGAGGGGCCCAGCTGAATCCCTGTTGCTGCAGCTGTAATCTGGCTCCCTTCACAACTCGTCAGGGAAGAATACCTCCAGCGTGACCACAAAACAGCCCATATGCATCACAACCACGGGCCGGTGTTCTCCCTCCACTGGAACCCCCAGACAGCCAAGGGAGGAGGGGAGTGATGGGCTGCTGTGCTCTGTCAATATGATTTAGTGATTATTTGTGCAGGGAATTAGATCTCATTTAGTCTTAATGCGAAGAGACGACCGAATCATAATACCCACAATAGCATTGTCACACTTGTGTACAGAGGGTGGCATATGTCTAATAGCTGAATATGTAACATTTCTGTTTGGTTTCAGTCTCAAAATGAAAGTTATTGTCCTTCATACGAGTCAAAACACCTCGAGTCATATATGGAGGTTAAGCAAGTACATTCGGGATGACTGTTTTATGTCAATTATGGCGAATGAAACATACGTTATTTTGTAGTCATGAGGTGAATGTTAAGAAGGTGCATTAGGGGCAATAAAAGCGGTGATGTTTGAAAAGCACAAATTAACAGTCTGTGCGTGGGGATGTGTTGACCTGGGTTTAATGACCCGGCAGTGATTGGTGCTCAGACCTGCGTGCCTCTCAGTAGCCTGTTGGCAGTGTCACTGTTAGCATATGCCGGTTGCGTACACAAGTGCTATGAAAATGCACAGCCAATTAAGTAGTGTAGCGCAGGTCGGCAGATAAAGATAATGACAACATCTGAATGGTCGGTAGGTTAACATAATTACTTCATTTCAAAGTCCATTTTGGCTTGCCCGGTCAAGAACTTTTAGCATTTCCATGAATACAGTCCCAAGGGTGTTTTCAAATACAATAGCACACTCGCAGCGTTCTGAAAATAAATGTCACATCTGGAGTTTACTTTCTCAGACAGGCTCCGGGTCCAATCGTTCTTTCAGATGACTTATTAGTTTCATAAATTATAACTTTGAATGAACACGCCTAAGGCGAAAATGAAGAACAATGCTAACAAAGCAACCCTAACATGGAACCTTGGAGGGGACGCCAAGGGAACCACTACACCTGATGACATATTCAAACAAGAAAGCTTTTATTCAAAACAGATGAGCAGAGAATCCAAATAGCATTAGATTGTGTCAAAGAATATGGAGTACCTTACACAGCTGGACAGATTCTCCCCTACATTGGTCATATATGTCTTGTGTCATTTGTTTATGCATGTGAGGTTCAATATTTGATTGTCCACAGTGAACTCTTGTGACACTCTATAAAAAGGAATCTTGCCTATAAGCAATCAAATGTTGGCAATGGTAGTTTAATTGTCTTTATTGAATAAAGGCACACACTAGTCAAGCAAAATTTGTTTAGTATGAGATGATTTATGATGACAATGTGATTTATGATTTGATTCTGTTTAAATACACAGGGATCTAATATTACTACAGGCACTTACTGTATAAGCCTCTGATAGTATGGTGTACCTACAAATGGATTTTGGGAAACCAGAATATGAACCCTCAATAGACTCAATAGGTTAACATGTGTTTTGCTCAATCATTATCAATTGGGTAGCAATAATGTATCAGCACAGGAAGATACCCAGGCCAAACCCTTTCTCCACCTGTCTGAGTGGGTTTCCTCCTGGCATCCGGTTTCCCCCATCACCCAAAACATGCAAGAGTGTGAATATGGTGAGTGACAGTTGTGGTTGGAGGAGCCGATGGTGGGGATTGGCAGCCTCGCTTCTGTCACCAACAAGTGAGACGTGATGAATACTGACTTCAGTGTTTCGCTTTCAAAGACTTTGATTAGAATTATGGATTGGAATAGGCTGATTATCCAATTCCTCTTCCTCCCATCTAAACGCTGTGTGTGACTCATATGCAATCTTAGAGGAAAATAGCATTAGAAAGAAGTCATACCGTCGTCACAGCTTCCGGCTTTGGCCACATCGATCCGCCTCTTCTGTAAGCAGGAAGCCATGCGGAGGAGGCACTTGTGGTCGTAGGTTGTGCCATCGCTGCCGCACACCGGTGACGGGGGCTCGTCCGGGCATTGCGGGCACTCACACTTGTTTTGGACACAGCGGGCCCCCCAGGCACACATGGCACTACCGCACGTCTCTGTAATATACGAAACCAGCCATGAGCCCAGGGCAGGGATAGACTACTGCTTCTAAGCATTAAAAAAATATATGAGCTGGCTGTTTGGATAACACTCATTTGCATTATGAATTAATTGCATACATATTCAACAGCGCTTGAGTTCTGTGGAACCACTTGCTTGTGTTAATTTGATACCAAGAATCAGTTAAGAACTTGCTGCTGGGAGATATTATCACTGAGCTGATTAATTTTATTCAAATGTGTATGAGGGCCCATTTAAATTCCCAATATAAACATGGCATGACATTCACTTGCCATTTTGGCTTTGAAAATTGTTTACTGGAGGGAATTAAGCATGGGAAGCAATATTATATTCTTTTTGTTTGGACTGGGCATGCATTGCCCATCATATCGGGAGGTAGTCTTTCAAATACATTCAGCTAAAATCTGGAACATCTTCCTGAAAATGTCTGAAGGATTGAAGGATAATGTACTGTGATTATCTATGAGTTTAATGCTTTGAGTTGCACTTTGAGTTGCTATACGCAAAATCTTGACTTGCCTTGCCCTGTCAAATCTTTCGTATTTATTTTTGCTGTATGCAAAAATCACCCTCCAAGGAATAAATAGTTAACGGCTATTTATAAATACAGATGCCTGCTTTCACAGTAAAGTGTCAATTAAAGTATCTGGACATTAAAAGGTTTTAACTCAAAAACTAAATTTACTAACATAGATTTGAAACAGAATTATCAACGAGATATTTACGATAGAAAGTAATCACTGTTTCTGCTCTTAATCTTAAAAAGAATCTCCTAATCAAATGTGGAACAAACTTCTGCAGGTCATAACATCAAAGGATGTATAAAACAGTTCTAGCAACTACTATTGGACACAAGAAACATTATATATCTTCTGATTATTAAAACATAATTGTTGGCCTTCTGTCACACGTTTGTACCCTTTAGCGTGAACAAGCCGTTAGAGATATATAGATAGATAGATATTTAGATAGGTAGATTTATAGACAGCAAAACGCTCATTGCTTCTTTGTGCAGGTATACATGGTGGATTGGACATGTGCTCTGGACTTACTGCACTCTCCTTGGCCGACAACGCGTAGGTCCATCTGTTCCTTGCAGGCCCGGACGTGCAGTTCACACTCGCTGTTGTATGTAGTGCCATCGCTGCCGCACACAGGCTGGTGAGAGTCCACGCACTCGGACGGACACACGCACTGACCGCTCTGGGCGTCGCAGATTGCACCAAAGGAGCAGTTGGTACAAGCATCATCTAGAGGGAGGAAAAGAAAATGAGATAGTGTTCTGAATTACAATAATGCACTGTTGTTAGAATCCAGGAATATATTGAGCAAATGTTGAATCTGAATTTATTTTCAACCACATGGACACATTTGATAACTCTGTCAACTTATTGTCTCTTATTGAAATGTCTGGAAAGTTCTAGAGTATGGCATCTGCAACTATAAATAAATTCAAGAGATACACTCAGCAGCTGCATATTTTATTGTGCACCTGTACAACACAACTCTATTATCTGCCAATCACACAGCAGCGCAAAGCATTTACGTATGTAGATGTGATGAAGACAACTTGCGGTTACAACAATGGGAGACTCAGGAAACAGGACCCAAAATGCACAACACACTGGTGCCATTTTACAATTAAATCAAAACTGTCCAGATAGCCAAGCTCAGAAAAAATGACAATAGTGGATTCATTGATCATATGATCCTCCTGTGGATCCACCACCTGCTGGAGGATCAGCGAGGGACTGGTGCTTTGAGCGTTGGGTGGCAGCTCTCATTGCCACCCCACTAACCAGAAACGGACTAATAAAGTGTTTAAAAGTGATTTAAAAAAATGATTATTATGAGTATGATAATACTTCTACTATTTCTTAATATTATTCAAGTTTATTTTTTCAATACATTGTATAATTCAGAAGTTACTGTAAACAATATATTTTTTTCTCCATTGAAGGTCTGTAATATAAATAATTGCTTTCATGTAAATCAGTTTATGTGAGCCCTCACTCCATTGTTTAATATTCCCTGAGTAAACTGCATCCATAACAAGACAATAAATCGTAAACTTGTCTCGTGTGTTTTACTGTTGACGGGCAGGGATGCCGACAGCTGCTGGAGAGCTTAATGATGTACTGCTGCTCCACACTTACAAAGCAATAGAATTTATTGAAAGCAAATTCGATTGATTTAAAGCTTCTTCATGGTCTGTCACAAGACTCATAGTTCCAAAAAGTTGTGAATGCAAAAAATAAAAAAACTGAAATCCAAAAACTCATCCATGGACTGAACTGGAGTGTGGAAAGTGCAGAAAAGGCCAGAAAGTTCCCGTGAGCGCAGAGGACTTGATGATTGAAAACTGTAGAACCACCCAAGCTCTCCTCAAGCTCGAAGTGAACACAAAAAACATCACTATTTCTCTGCAAGAAGCAGAAGAGGCTGCCAGAAAGAAGCGCGCCGCTGCAGCACTCCATCAATCAGGACTTTATGGGAGAATGGTCAAAAGCTGGAGCCACTCCTCTGAAAGAGCCACATGACAGGCCGCCTCAAGTTTGCCAAATGGCACCAAAAGGACCGCGAGAGCATGAAGGGAAAGATTGTCCGCTCCGATGGGAGACAAGATTGAGCTTTTTGGCCTGAATACCAAGTGGTTCATGTGCTGAGAGTCAGGTATGGCTGATCATCTGACCACGGCCAGGAAAAGCTTTAAAGCTGCAGCATCATAGAGATATCATAAGGAAAGATTAGATATATTAAAAAGGTTCTTTTGTTATCATTTGTTATAATTTGCTTTATTGCATGTGCAAAGTGAGAACTTTTACAAACATGATACAAATCTAGTTTCAACGCCTGAACCGACATTTAGGCTTTTCAGCCCTGGTCTTCTTGATACCTCATTAATATTCCATCTTTCAGAACACTTATGGCAGCTGATATCTGTATTTGCCCACAAGTTTACTGCTTCAGAGGTGTTCTTAATAGTTGGACCATTCATCTCATGAGGAATTGGCCTCGACTGGAGGCAAGGTTCCCCTGATGAGAGCAGGCAGCTTCAAACAGACCCCTGACTTATGGTGTGTCACATGGGGCTGGAAATGAATGAGCCAGCAAATACAAGGCCTTGTAGGGGAGACCTGAGCTAACGCCGCAGATACTTCTGACTACCCCCGACACCAATTACACCTGGAGGATTGCATTAGCCCAGCTCGCTTTCACATTCAATTAGAGCCAGCCTAATAACCGCTGCTGATTTAGCGCTAATTGAGGGAGGCGAGGCAAGCCTCCGGAACCTTCCACATTATTAATCTGTTTATTACTCTTTTAGTGGCGTTCATTTGATTCATCTCTTCATCTATTAGGCACTTGCACTGCCATTCCAAATTCGTACCAGCGGACATCATTGTAGGTACAGCAGCGCAGGGATGTGACAAAACAAGGTGCTCGAAAATCAAACTTAATTTAATAAGTAAAGCACATTTTCAAATGAGTTGAAATTGAAAATAAGCCTAAATTGTGCATTGAGTCTAACTGAATAGCTGTTTAGTGATAAAAATTCAACCACTGTTCTCTTAATCACTTTAAAGAAGAGATGTTATGCATAGTGTTTGTCCATTAAGATTACAATAAATGGTAAAACAAGGATGAAAGGCAATAAAAGGCTTTACACATGTTTTAAATGCTACTGAAGGAGGAGATTCATGTCTTTTATTTCAAATTTGAAAATTACCAACTGCAAACACATCCATGTGATTGTAAGGAAAGTTGTATATCTGTTAAATGTATCAATAGTAACGCTAACACTAAGGCTTAGGGCCTCATCTCCTGATCTTGAGCATGCTTAACCACCTTGGCTAGATATTCTCTTAGCTTGATGGGAAACCAGAGAACCCTGTGGAAACCTTGAGTACCAGCCACTCAGACACTGTTTACCCACATTCATATTATTTAATCAAGTCTCAAAATAAAGTCCAAAGCTTCAATATATGTAAGATTCAAAATACAAACACAGCCATATGTGCAGTTGTTGTACGTGGCCCTGCTTGTCTTCTCGTGCCAGTTGCTATAAATCAGTGAGCCGCAGTGTCGTTCCTTATCAGGCTCTATGCTTCGATAGCAACCTCGCTTCTTTATCAGCCCCGGCCCCGCGCACCTGGCTCTCCACACGGCCTGATACTCCAGACTACATGTCGCACACACACAGGGTAGCAGAGACCTGTCAGCTAGCCAAGAGGATGCCAGGGGATTGTCAGTGACGGTAAGACATGCTGTCATGGCAGATTTGGTTGTCCCTTAGGCTGTCAGCGCTAATTTCAAGTGTCAGTAACAGTAAAATACTTTCCTTTGTTGAAGCTTGGCATGAAGGGCTCAAAACGTCAAGCAGAACAAGTTGGGTATTAGGTGTGACTGAAAGTTGTCGTTGTATCCAAGTATTGCCAAAATGGATTAGGAGTCATGCCTACTTATTATTGCCTATTTATATTGGTGTGAATTAAATGTAGAATTATGGAGCTAAACAAACTCATGTTTGCAAACATAACTTATATAAAGTATATATAAGCTGTATATGTCTACCTGTTATGTGACCAAAACTACAGACACTGCATGTCATATGCTAATTAATGGTCTATATTAAGTTATTACAATTATAATCCAATTTTCATACTGCTTGTGGTGGTTAATCCTAATCACAAATTACTGATGCAATCCTCTGGCTGGGGTTTAGCAAGAAACTGTACGAACGTTGTGTATTCTGTATTTATAGTTCTTTTTCTTTTTGTGAATTTGTGAATATTAAAAAAAACAAAAGGTCACCTAACAAACTGGCAACCCAATTTAAAGACTCATTAGGCTCTTTGATTGGATAATAATAATAAAAACACACTATGGATTATCTATCTGGAGACACATTTTGACATACTCTCCCAAATGTAACTGATAACTGCATAACCCATTATTCATTATAGTTCAACATGAGTAACAGAGTAGGATTTTACGTGGAGTGAATCTCATCGTAATGAATGAAGAAGCATAATCCTGTAGTTTTGTATAATTCATCAGAATCATCCAATCTCCAAGGGAGAGAGAAAAAAACATCTTGTTGAGTTGTACCACCTTTGATTATACTACTACTACTACTGCCGTGTTTAAAATGTGTGGCCACTTCTCAATAATAGATAGCACAAGACATCCTAAAAAAACCTCTTTGTGGAAGGCACTCAGTAATGTCTATAGAGCCACATTAGAAAAGCCATTTTTTTGTTTTGCTGTTCTTTTCATGCCCCTGTTTTGTTTCGTGCTTTGGGAGGCAGAGTGAAGAATAAGATGTGACCGCTTTACAAAGTGGTCTCAAAAGCATAAATGATGTCAGCGAAAGGGCTAAGAGAAAAAGGTGAGGTTATAGCAGGAGGGGGGTTTGGGACATTAGCCAGGGATTAAGAACTGGTTTGTGCTTTGAAGGTCTGTGAATATGGCAGGCTGATAAGGACTCCCCTGTTGAGTCTTGCCCGGGCGGTATAATATCACCTCCTCTGGCTGTGCGCTGCCCTTCGTCTTATTTACCTCTGTCATCTCAAATTCTCAGCATTTATTGCCTATAGCCCCTCCCTGACCAGTTGCCGGTTGACCTATATTCCTTAGTTCTCAGTTCTCTATCATTCCTGGCACCTATGGGAGAGCAATCTTTTTTTTTCCTCCAAATTTTCCTGCCACATTTTCTCTCGTTTGTTGGAATAAAGCTGGTTGTATTTCGGAGGAGACTGATATCCAGCTGGGGGGGTCTATTAACTGTGCGGGCCATTTCCCGACCACATAGCAAGGTTACCCGCCACTCAACCATACATGGGGGGGAGAGAAAATCTTGGAATAATAACTAATGTCACTCATATCAGGATCGCCTGCACCTGAGCCATATAGATAACCACTATTTCCCTGAGCCCCGGGCAAAGGAATGAAATTAAGGGCAGGCTCATGAGAGATGAGCTGAGGCGCGTGCTGGTCCTGTAAACACACATTTGCCTCTACCCGAAAATGGCACCACCTCAGAGCGTCTTACAGCACTCACCGGGCGTCTATACGGAACAATATGACGGTTAAAGCACAAAGAATTCAAATAGGAGCTACAAATAGGAATGAATAGTTGCTCGTTTCAAAGCTCGCTCACGTATGTAAAAGGTGTTTCCGTGGAGGTCACAGAGGAGGAGAGAAGCATAACTATTGCTGATGTTTTTGAGAATAAAAACAAGGAAGTGTTTCAAGCTGAAAATGTGTCTTTTTTACATACTGATACTGGTATTTTGGGCTGGTTCTCTTTAACTGGATCCAGTCTAGTATAGTTCACTTGGGGGAAAAATGCTTCACAGAAATGTCTCTCTGTTTCTAAAGATGTAAACTTGACTAGTGGACATATAGCGACGTGTTTTATGGTTTATTGGACGTTCATTAAACATTTATGGACGTTGGTCATCTGTCCTTCATGAACCAGTGGCTCTATGTGTTTTTATTGTCAACGGTTTGATTCTCTGCTCTGTGTTGGCGAATTTAACGGTTTTGTAAAGCCCAACTAAGAGAACTACCAATGTGATATAGGGCAATACACGAATAAATTTAATTGAATTGGTTTTACATCCACAAATAAAGCCTTTATTCCCAAAGTGAACCAGAAACCAGTTAAAGTGCACTGGTATAACAAGTGTGAACATGCCCTTCATTAACTGGATACATTATTTAACATTTTGACATTCCATGGACAAAACTTGCAACCTCTACACAGCAGGTCTCACTGTTAAGACCTGTTGCATCCATGTTTAGATACTGTAACTGTAGAGACAAATGCATCTACATGAACTAAAGGATGTGTCAAATGTAATGAGAAGAAATTTCCTTCAAGAATGATCAATTAGGGATGCAAAATTATCTTTCTTGTTTTCAATTACATTTACTCCCTCATTTGCAAATACTGTAAATATGTCTTTTTGTGAGTAAAAAACTAAAGCTTTGTTATGAGACATTGCAAATATTCACAAAATCACACGCTCCAAATATTGCTGGAAATGCAGTTTAGGGCCCATTCAGATGCGGTGTATATTCTAAGTTTGAAAGTCTTGTAATGGGATGAGGTTATTATGGTGTTGAATAAAGCCCTCTGAAGCTGTTCAAACAACCCAGAAATAACCCACATTATCACGGCCATTATTTCTGGGCCGCGCGCTCCTGGCAAGCCCATGCCTCAGCATTTTATGGCACCATTTCGCTGACGTAACCTGTTCCGTTGGGAGCCAGGAACCATCCATACTGTTGGATTACAGACAAGACCCACCGCTCCGCCACAGCGCACTACCGCCACACGCTTTGAGAAATAAAGACTATTTATTACCGCACAGGGACCCGGAGCCCAAAAGACCTGCCATATACCTGTACAACACAGCAAAGAAAACTGCTCAGATGAAAAGACAAGAGGTGTTTCATTTGTTGCTGGTAGACGTTCTTACATGTTAGATTTCACTTCCGAAAATGCGTGTGAGGGGGGTGTGACAAATATGTCTCATGGGAGGAGGTTTACTGAGAGCTTCTTCAATAAGTCAATGTCTCGGTGAAGAAACACCTGTGCTGTGATTTTCTGCAGCACAAATGTGGCCATGAACGGTCTGGACTTGTTCTCTGTTTGCGCCTCTGATACTCTACTCTCCATTTGCTGAAAGTAATAACTCACTCATATTGATCATTCTTCTAACAGCGCCGCTCGTCCACACGGCAGAGGATTGCTCATTTGCCGTTCGGCTTTTTTAATATGCAAAAAAAATCCATTGTTGTAAATCTGACTGAATGAGAGAGACGGTCCAAGGGGCTAATAATTGCTGTACTTCTGCCGAGGGCGTATAAAAAGGCTTTATCTTCAATTAGACTGCTCAAGATGTTGAGATTTTCAGATTAGGTTTCACCAATCTGCAAAGATATTCCCCCCTTTGACGATTGTTGTTGTTTTAATGACACTTGGCATGAACCAGACAAAGTGGAGTGAGTTATGTGCCAATTACTTATGTGGTAAAGAGTGTCTTCTCAGAAAGGTCAACACAAAAAAATGGGAGGCAACTGTAGCAACACAAATGAAGATGACGCAAAAAAGGATCAGAAGAGTTTGGAGTGTTCTGCGTGGAATCCTGAGGGGTCATATGTGATTATAACGCTGTATATAAAATTCTGAATGAGGATCGTGCCATGGACTATAGTAACGTAATCCTATTAAAACTAAATTATAATCCGCAGAGAGGTATCATTCTCCACCTGTGAGCTGCTATTCACATGGTTCCATTCTTTATGACTCCTGTGTAAATGACTTTATGGTGTTATGCGACTGAATAATGTCTTTTTAACAAGATATATCTGGGTATAAGGGTATTATCTTTTTTTGAGGAGAATTTTTTTTATTAGATGAGTATTAGAACGATACATTAGATAAATGTATCGTTCTATTCTGTTGGATTTCCCAAGCTTCTCTCAGACTCCTCAAGATGGCTCATTGTTAGCAAACAAAAGCTGTCAAGGTAAATACATAATGTGTGTTTAGAGAGCGTGTGTGTACGTGTGTAATATCATACAAATGTTTGCTTGAAATAAACCCAACCAATTGGCAAGAAACAGTCATGTGATTTCTGCGACACCAAATCTTGTGGGAGAAAGTGCCATAAAAGGTCTATCAGAGAGTGCAAAAGGATTGACAAAACATGGTGGGTAATCTCAACAATGCAATGTGGTGAAAACAGACATGAAAAGTTCAATTTAAATGGGATTTTGATGGTTGTGTTCAAAGCTATGCAAAAAAAACAAAAAAACAATAGAATGTACAGTGCCCAAATTAAATGTAGGGTATCTATATGTTTCAAATCACAAAAATGGATCAATGTAATAAACCCATGTAACTAGTTTTAGGTTCTTAAAATAGTTTGATTGCACTAGTTTTCACAAGCATGTATTATTGGCTTTTTTTTGGACAGAAGAGTGAAAAGAAAAATCACTTTTCTTATACTCTTTCTGCTGGAAAGAATGCAATCCATTATTATGGGGAGAGAAAACACATAGATAACACAGCTGTAGGGTGAATAGAAGCTTTATATGAACTTGGCACAAACACCTCGTGACAATGCAGAGCCAAAACACAGACAAGCCTGAGCATTTGTCTGGTCGTTGATATTGCTATGACAACTCACCACAAGGTCCTTTGTGCTGGATGTGGATGTCCTTCTGCAGAGCACAGGTCATGGCTCTCATCTCACACGGACTGCCGTAGCTCTGGCCGTCTGATCCACAAACCGGGTCCGACGTCTGCGGACAGGCCTCGGGGCACTCGCACACCGGATCGTTATTCTTCACCACGCAGACTGCCCCGTGATCGCACACTTTATCAACGCACGGGCTGGGCACGTGGAGATCTGAAAGCCAGAGACCAGAGTTAGACTTGCTAACCGAGCAGAATTGGTGATTAGGAAGTGGGGAGAATATAAAGTGGAGGTAGAGGGAAAAGGACTTTATGGACAAGGGGGGGAAGTTAGTTACTCGGGCAACAGCAGGTAGGGTGTTAAAGGGTTTAGGGGGAAAATACATTAGAAAAAATGCTTTTTGAAGTACTTTTTTGTGACGGCTTTTACCATTCCCAAGTCACTAGTCTCCATGCTTATCCTGATTCTTTGAAGAGTGTGCAGTATATTTTGGCATGATTGGATTAAACATGGCCCTACTGCACAATGGCATGAAACAGCACAGCCTCTTGTATTTGTTATTTTTCTGGCAGAGTAAATGCTTTGAATTAATTGACATCCCCAATGCATACGTCCTCTTCAAAGGCTGCTATTTGCACCTCAGTGAATACGACAGTCTCAGCCTGAGCTAGAGCTGACATGGAGCAACGAGCAAAAGAGTGTTGAAAGAAAAGGGAAATAGTGAGCAGATAGGAGAAGAGAAAAAAGGTGCAGAGAAGAAGAAACAGCCTTGTGCTTAATAATTCAGAAAAAGCAAGCTCCTGGGCAGAGGTAGATATAAAATGTGAACATCACACAGAGGTGCATGCTCCTTGCTGAGACGCAGCAGCAACACTTCATTAAAAGCAGACCTGGATGGCATGCTTGGGATAGGGAGAACAGTGCCTGGGTGTGGGCCGGATGGTCGGGACAGAGCTGAGCTGAAGAAGCAGTGAGAAGATGCCTTTGATCACGGACCCCTCCCCTCAGCCCAATGCAGACACATTCACAGCTCTATTTGTCCATTCCAACATTACATTAACTATGACTCTGTTGAAGAATAGAGGCTCAGGCTGCACTGCTAAAAGTGCACTTGGTTAGATCTTGTTCTGAGAGTACATTACAGTAAGTCAATAAATTTCACCACACCATAGGTTTGTCTTAAAATATTGCAGAATTTTTACGAGTTCGAACAAGGTGACAGAATTTGCAATAGTTCAATAATAACATAAAAAATAAGTATCTCTAGGAAAGTGTGTCATCTGCATTTGACCAATCATTCTGATGCCCTCGGTCAAAAGCATTGGTTCCTGTAGTACAGCACCCAGGGACCCATCTCCAGATGTTCAGCTTGGTTAAGGTGAACATTTCGTCCTGAGGAGGACAAAAAGCTCCCAGGGACATGGAAAGGGCAGAGAGAGTGCTAACTTCTCAGCCACTATGCATTCAAAACGATCCACACTTGTGACAAATTGACACAGACATTTTCCAAGTTCCCCGTGTGAATGGTCTGTATTTTGGGTATTAATGTTAGGGGTGGATGGATTACTTTGAAACACAGCAGTATTTGCATGTTTGTTGTTGCTTAAGTAAGAGGTTTACATCACCCTTGCTGTTGAAGCAGTTGTTTATTCTAAAATAGTTGTTTATTCTAAAATAGGGGGGTCACCCATGGGGTTGCAGTGACAAAATGAGATGTGTAATGTTCAGCTAATAATCAATGTATGTGCTTTATGAAGTGAGCTATCAAGTGCCTAATAAACTGTATATAAAGTCAGCAAAATGAACCAACCAGGTGAACTGCAGCACTTTCCATAACAGTGGGGGTGGTCTCACTTGTGTCTTGTATAATGACTTTAATTTTGTGCTCAATCCAACTAACGACTGGTTGTAAAAGGTGGGTTGCCGTTTCCCATAAGGCCACCAAACAATTTAATTACCACGATTAATAAGACCATAGAACACAATCACAACCACCAGCTTTAGTTGTGGTGTTGTTGGCATGGTAACAGCCCCTCATATTAATCCCCTCCTGCTGATGTCCCATTATTAAGACTATTATGAGATTAGATGGCATCACAGGGGGCGTTGTGGCACACTTGGCTCCCTGCTTTACATTTATCAGCCTGGAAGTGTTGGATATTACCCACACATGTAGCGCTAATGCCAGGCCAAATTACCAATAGACAACGCATAAAGAGCCAATTAGCTCATTCTGGAGAACTGGTGGTCCGGGTACTATTGATTTGTGCTTTTAAAAGGTCACATTGTTAACACTATTATGGAGCAACATTTGGGGAAAGAAAATGTGTGTTTTTTGTGGGAAATGACAACAGAAAACCAACCTTCCAGATAGCAAATAGCAAGAGATATGAATCATAATGTAATTGACAGTGACAAATTTGACTCATTTATGTTCTTTAAACAGTATAAAAGTTGTGCCTGGATAAAAAACAAAACAATTCCAAGAAATTTGATATGCAACTGTCTTCCCAGTCGTAGAAGTCCGCAGTGCACATTCAAACTGTAATCAGGACTAAATTGTCAGATCCAATCCAATCCTGAGAGAATTTAGGATAGAATCCGATAGCCCAAACTCGGCAACAGCCCAATGTTATTTTTAGTGCGTGTGATTCTGTGTGCTGCTGTTGTGGGCTTTGTGGGTGTCTAATTAGCTGAGCAGGTTATTAAATAGGGTTTTGCATCATAGCGGTAGCAAGCCGTGAGTTTGTGACGCATCTTTGTATTTAGGTGCCATTAAAATAATTTCCCCATTTGGATTGTTTGAGTCTGATTTAAATAAACTACGCAGTATGTTGCACCTTGAAAACATTGGACATTGACAAGTGTCCCTGCATATCATCCCAAGAATGGATATGTAATTGATTTCTTATAGTTCAGCAGTAATAGGCTGTGTGTAATGTTATGGGGAGTGTGAAGTGAAAATCCACACTTTCAAAAGTATTATTAGTTTTAGGTGAAATAATACGTATACATGAATTTGGCCTTTTCTTTTAGTGCTCTTTATCTATGAGTCAGAATTACTGCAATAACCAAAGCCTGGCCTGAAGAGAAATTATTAAAATTGGCTGTCAAGTCCTGTCGAGCTGAGGCCAAAATGTTAAACTCAATAGTTCACGTGCAATGGTCATCATTTCAACACTGATTATTAATTCACAATGCATACAACTATAGTAAAGCTATACAAATGTTCTTAATAATATGGCGATGGAATTCAAATATTTTAAAATACTAATTGTCTTTAATATAGCAGTGCATTTTCCAGCTTTAGCCCAGACACTTCATCAGGCTGGGTCCCTGTCGTCTGGCTGGCAGGACTGTGACATGGCGCGGCCTAACATGAAGTAATCCTATAAGTCCAGAGCAGGGTTGAACCATTGAAATATCGCACTAATTAAACCAGGCTACACCTCTACATTTCTAGGCTGGGGCTCTGGCAGTGACACAACATGTATAGTTCTCTCATCTGCAAGTCACACCAGAGTTGGAATCCTTTATTAATAAGAATTATTCATCTTCTTGGAACCTTTTTTTCTTGGCTCCTCAGCCATCAAGACAAAACCCATTCTACTGTCAAGCTTCATGTATAAACAGCATTAGTTGCTTCTGGTCCTAGCTGGCGGACATGGCGTTGTGCATGAAGAGATTTAAGTGCTTTGGAGAAGAGTGAATTTGAACAAGTGCTATCCCACAAGCTTTAGTTGTGACAGTCTACCATTTCAAAGCTCCCCACGGCGGGTAACAGAAAGAATTCATAACGAAATATTTCCACACAGGCAATTCTGTAGTCTCCTTTACACTTATTAAATCAGGGAAGAATTTAGCCCGCAGACGAATCGCCTGATAAAAAATTAGTTTTGCGGTTCAAATTCTTTCATCTTCTTAGCGAGACAAAGGAGACAGGAGACAAAGGCGTTATCGGGGGCTGCAGTCGTCTTCCAGGGCCTGTCCTTATGAAGTGAGCTGGTGAACTTTCTCTCCACAGGCCAAGGTTGTACAGTTAAGCCGGGATCACAGACTTACAGGGGTTGCATTTGTTTGTCTGCGCATACAAAAGAGCAATCACGTTGAAATCAATTGTTTTTGAAGACAAAACAATCAAATAGCAAACAAACATTTTACATACTTATGTGAGAGTTTAGCAAAAAAAAACAGTATCGCTTAGAAATGCTTACTTTGATGAGCCATGGACATATTTATTATTGCACATAGTGGACTTCATTATCCTAGCAAATCATGCAACTTCAAAAGAGTTATAGAATCATGTACATACTTTTGCATAAAAAATCTGGGGATCGTCAAGATTTCAATCAATTTCAATCTTCCACAGTTCACAATTTCAATCTTCCACAGTTCTGCTCTTTGGTCTAATGACACAGTTAAAAGGGGGGACAGTGGCTCAGATGGTAGAGCATTGGCCTTTGAGCCTGAAAATTGTGGGTTCGAGCCCACCACGAGACCTTCTCCACCGACTCCCACTGATGTCTGCTGTCGTTGTGTCCTTGGACAAGACACTTAACCCACTTTGCCCATAAGGAGCGCGGAAATGATGTTTGCTGCTTGCCTTGATGTATATGTGTATGTGTATGCATCAAACTGAAATGTCCCCATTGTGGGACGAATAAAGGACCCTCTTGTTCTTCTTAACCTAAATGTGTGTGTCTCAAATTCTAAACTATGTCCAACTCAGTTCCCAAAAATATAATTTCATGTCTCTCCTATAGGACTTGATTTTGCCCAGTTAGAGTCAACACTCCTGTTCACATCCCACGCTACATAGTTCAGATGAGTAGATGTCTGCTCACCTGCCTCACGGTATTATTACTGTCCTATTAATGGCCCGATCTGACAGCTAAAGTGGCCTTATCAACTTCTGAAGATTTAAACCTCTTGATAGCTGATGCAATGCCACACATAGCCTTTGGTTGTGTTGCTGTATTGGCTACAGTGCAGAGGTTTCAAACTTCACTCTGCGCAACATGCCGTTAAAATAGAGATTATTTTGGCAGTGGCCTCCTCCCATCTCACTCAGCTCATACATATGTTAATTGGACTTTCCCCCATGGGTGTGAGTGCATTTCCAAATAGCTCCCCATATTATTCAGGGCAGTGAATCAGGGTAATCCAGGTGATGCTTGAAGTCACCAACTGGCAGTAACAATCGCCTGCCACTA